GATAAGTTTTTATTAGTATATTTTTTAACAAGGTGTTTACACACCAAGTAAGTGTTATTTACAAATACAGAACATGAACAAACCCAATTATTGATATTTGTTAAGTAATTGTCTTCAATACTAATATCCTTATTCAATGCTTTTTTCCATTCATCTTTGAATGCATCCCACCAAGATTGTAAATCCCACTTATTGCTATATCTTTGTCAGGTATTAATTTGATCTGTGATTAATTCTTTTGTTAAAATCTGTGTTAAGCGGTCTAAACGGGGTTGATTGTAGGGGTTTGGGTCAAATTCTCGACAAACAGAATCCCGACAAGTCATAATCCCAACAAAAAAATCCTGACAATCAAAAATTCCGACAAATCCTGACAATCAAAAAAAGTGTTCGTTGAGCAATTTTACTATATAAAATCATCTATACCCTAACCCTAACCTAGGCGCACACCCTAACTCTAACCTATGCACTCACCTAATCTTACCCTAGCTTAAATAAACAATAATTTTTTGTTGTTGGGATTTGTCGGGATTTTTACTGTTGAGATTTTTTTGTTGGGATTATGACCTGTCGGGATTCTGTTTGTCAGGATTTTAACCAGTACCCGATTGTAGGTATATTTATAAACATATTTTATTACTCGCCAGTGCAATTCTACAAGCATTGTAGTCCTTGCTAGTAGGATTGCACTTGAAAAAGAAGCCCAGGCAAAAATATTCCAATCATCCTTATTAACAATATATATTTTTAAAAGACTACTATAGTATATATGCATATTTTAAAATTAAAACTTAAACAATTTAAATGTAAAAATACCCAAATATTTGTGCTACATTTTTAACAATTTTATTTAATATTTGATTATTTATTGTGACGAATTAAAATAAAATTTGATTAAAATGAAATATGTATATTAGGGAGTTTCAGAATTAACAAATAAATGTCAATTGCGAAAATAAGTAGGATTTTTCAATAGCATTTTTACTATGTTGAATTATAAATCGAAAAAATAAAATAAGATTCGCTGATTTTAATTTTGAAACCTCCTATTATAAAAAAATTAATAAGTTATCAAAAAATATTTTTCTTAGAAGAGCATTTTTTAGATTAGAGGCAAGTTTTAGAGTAGAGTTTATATTAAACAAGTATGAGTGGGGTTTAGAGGGTTTAATAGAACTCCATTTCATTTTAATCCGATTTTAGACAATTATTAAATTTGTTTAGGAAAAGCCAATCATAAACGAGAATTTTCCGACGATCTTCACGTGACTGCCATCCTTATTCACCACCACTGATTTACTTGTGAAAAACGAACTCAGTGAATAAACTATTACCTGTGTGTATACAATATCGGTGAAAGGACCTGTACGATACACGGTTTTCGAAGAGAATAGCCAAGCGAGTCAAAATAGATAGAAAAGACCCACCAGTACACGGTAGTACCAGGTAACTCTGTGACACTAATAGCTGAAGATCTTCAAATTTTGGCCCACACTACAAATTTGGTTACTAATTTCTGGCCGGAATTAGCTTTTTAATTTTTCATTATGAAAATAGAAATTCATAAAGAATAAGTCTACATTATAGTGAAATTGGCCCATGAACAATTTTTACTTAATAGGCGACTATGATTTCATTGAGTAATTTTGGCCTAATTTTTAATTGTCACTCTTAGCCAATCAAAATTAAGGACATGCTAGTTTGTAGCAGCTATATTAAATCATTGAAAATTAGTGGAACAGGATTATAGATACTAGTAAAATTAAATCAGAGTGGTAAAATGATTTCACCATTTCACTATTCATCACTCAGCATTGGTATAACTGGTATAACTAGTGAATTGATGTAATTGGTATAATTAGTGAAATTGGTGAAATAGTGAATTGGTAAAATGGTAAATTGGTGAATTGGTGAATTGGTGAAATGGTGAATTGGTGAATTGGTAAAATAGTGAATTGGTGAATTAGTGAATTGGTGAGATAGTGAATTGGTGAAATAGTAAATTGGTGAAATGGTGAATTGGTGATATGGTGAATTAATAAGATGTAAAATCATGAAATTATCTATATACGTATCGTATCTGTATAGCATAATACATATCTGGATACCTGTCATGTGTATTGCGGTTAATGTTGTAATTAATAATAATGGATGATTGAAAACGTAGTAATAATTAAGGAATGTGATAGATAAATTATGCAAATGGAACAATGAGATAATAAGGGAGATAGCAATTAGTAATAATAACAATTGTATAAACAATATAGTAATTGATAACAATTGGTAAATGCAATTTGCGCAAACTATATAGAAATTTTAAAAAATCTTGCATTTATAGAGGTATTGCATTTAAGGAGGTAAAAATCTATAAATGTATATGTAGTAGAAACACAGCAAGGCTGTGTATTTATAGAGGTTTTTTATAAAATGTGCATTTAAGGAGGTTGCATTTATGGAGGTCTGACTGTATTCGATATGGTTTACCTTATATCGTTTAACCCTGTGACAATACTATATGCCTTACGAAGCGGATGTTTAAAGTAAAGTAGATTCTTATAATATATATTTTATTGAATAAACTTTTAGGGTTAGGGCTGGTTTTAGATAGTTATATATGCAAATTGCCTTTTTGACATTTTATTTAACTTACCCAAGGTAGGTTTAGACTGTTGTTTTTTGAATTTTTAAGTTTTTTGCTTTTTATTCTTACTTTGCCAGTGATCATCAAAACTCTATGATTTGATTAGGCATATATTGTGTAATTCTGCTCCACTTTAGATTTAAAAAGATTCGCGATATTTGGACATAACTAATCAAAAAGTGTAAGCTATTTTTGCTATAAAAATTTTATGAACCCTGTATACTTACTATAATAGTAATATGCAGGTTCATAGTACATACGTACTTTATGTTTGGTTAGTACGTGTTATATACGTTTTGAGAACAATATGAAGATTATAAAAATACAAGTACAATAAATAAATTAATATAAATCTTGTTTTTAAATTGAAGGTAATAGGGTAATTTATAATTAACTTATTTTGAAATTTCAACATAAGACTTGATAATTTTTAACTAATAATAAGATATCGATCAATTCAATTATTTGCAATAGTTCTAACAACTTATTAATTTTTTTTTGAGAATATTAGATATATTTTTATAGATGCTATTAGATTATTCTTCTATTAGTACTTCTAAAATACTATTTATGTCTTTAATATATGGAGTCTTTGCAGTAGAAAGGGACCAAACTGCTTTATATACAATTTTGAGAAAATTGTATTTGTTTTGTTCGAACTAATCTGGGTTACTTAAAAATTTCATTATTTGATTAGCCAGTTATATCAAATAATCCCGTGATATACAAAACTTCCAAGAAATTTTTTTAAAATAATTCAATTTTTTATTATGCAAATCAATTTCCATTTATAATTAAAAAATATAGCCCGTATCAAAATTTATCTGAATATAACAAAAACTGGATTTTCATTTTTTGGCAGTATCGGCCCTTTCTATTGCAAATAATTATTGATTAGAAATATATAGTATATATATAAAAGATATCAAGTTAGAAAATTCATGATCTTGTTATTATATAAATAAGCTTACAAATTAAAATAAATAAGATTTATAAATTGCATCACTAATTTAATTTAATGTTTACTTATTCATGGTATCAGTGGGATATCTGGTTATTTAAGGGATTTCAGGTTATCTCAATTTGGTGATCCGTAGATAACTGTATAATTTAACAACCAAATTAAAAATTAGTAATTAGTTTTTTTAAAAAAATCCAGTTTCAAGACTAGTAATATAATATCATACCTATATATTATCGATTTATATTATAATTTAGAATATATTAGAAGAAAAAAAATGTGAGAAAATAGTTATTTCATAAAAGGGAATATCAAGATGTTAGAATTCTAAATGCCATATTAATTGATTTATTAATAGCATTACTTTATAACATTTACTTTATATGTTAGTGTGTAAATTTAGTTGAGTTTGAATTAAGTATTAAATACTAAACCCTGTTTATAATAAACTTTAAGCATGTTCTCTAGAAGCTTCTGTGTGACTTGTGTTCTGGTGTGTTCTACTAATTTATATTATCTTTTAAAACGTTCAAATATGTAATTATTGATAAGAAATATAAGGCATATATGTGAAAAATATTAAGTTAGAAAATTCATAATCATAAAAATTATTGTTATTATATAAATAAGCTTACAAATTAAAAATAAATAAGATTTATGAATCGCATTACTAATTTAATTTAATTCAATGCTCACTTATCCATAGTATCAGTGGGATATTTAGTTATTTAAAGTTATCTCAATTTGGTGATCTATGGATAACTGAACCTATGTAATTATACTACAAAAAATTTTCTGGTCATATGACTTTATCGTGGCACAAACCAATTGAATTTCAGGATCAGGTGTAATGTAAAAATTACTAAAAACTCTAAAATTTGTTTATGAAATTGTCTTCTGCATATTAACAAAAAAAATTCCTTGCAAATTTTTGATAATTGCAACGCTTTAAGTGTTTAACCCAAACTTTAACTTTCAATTTATTACTTTAATTTGTTTGTTTTATTTAATTGTTTTGATTGTTTTGATTTTCACATTACACCTGATCTTGAAATATAATTGACTAGTGCTATAAAAAAGTCACATAACAGGAAAATTTTTTGTGGGTGAGCTACTAATATCGGATAACTGTATAATCTAACAACTAGATTAAAAATAGTAATTAGTTTTTTTAAAAAAATCTAGTTCTAAGCTCTAGTAATAGTAATGTAATATTATACCAATTGTTATTGTGCTTTCTATATATTATCGATGTATATTATAATTAGAATATATCAGGAAGAAAAAAAATTTAAAAAAATAGTCATATATATACAGTATACGATACATATCTTTTTTGAAAATTAATGGCATTATGAAATTTAAAAACTGCTTCTAATATATTTAGCATTAGTAAAAATGAACCACAAAAATATAGTGAAACAAATGAAACGAATGAATCAAGCCAATTGTTCACAAACCGCAGAAATGTTAGCAGTAAAAAGCAAGGAGATATTTGGCATTATGTTAACCAAGATGTTAGTTTAGGTTAGGATATTATAAAGCTAGTTGTAAATATTATTCTGTTTTATGGAAAAGAGGTTGACCAAATAATATGTACTTACATCTTGCTCGACAATGTTTAAATGTTCCTGAAGAAATTAAATATTTTTAGAGAGATTTTATTGCTAAAGAAAAAACTTCAATATGAAAAAAACCAAAAAATCAATCTGAAATTACAACTCATTTTCAAAAAGTTGAACCACTTTCTAAAGCACAAATAAAATCTTTAAATAAAGCTAGTTTAAAAGCTTGAGTTATGTATAATTTTTCATTTGAAACCGTAGAGAATCTTTTTATAATTGACTTGTTTCAACTTGCAATTCCCAGATATAATCTCCCATCATGTGATAAACTCTCTGGTTGTTTCTTAGACCAAGAAGTTTTAAGAATTGATAAGCGAATTGATAATGATCTTGAAAAAGAGAGATTTTTTACTTTATGTAAGTAATATAAAATTATAATTAATAAATTAAATTTTAAAAAAATTTTTTTATTATACTGTAATAGCCCTCGACAAATAAATATTGCCTACTCATAATTCAATTTATAACTTTATTATCACTATATCTAAATATAAAGAATATTTTATAAAACTTAAGGATATAACAAAGTTAGTCATACGAAAGAGTTTATGGCTAGTAAAATTTTAAGTTTTATTGAAAAATAGAAGTTGAAAAGTTTGTAGCAGTTGTTACCGATTCAGAGTCAAATCTTTAAGTAGCTCATCAAATTGTTAATAGCACTTATCCTTCTATATTAAATATTAGATGCGCTGTATATGCAATAAACTTGCTTGCATCTGATTTTGCTAAATTAGATTCAATTAAAGATATTGTTACCAAATATGGTTTAATTACAAATTTTTTTTATCATTTTCATGTTGCTTACGGATATTATTCAAAGCAACTTCATCTTATAAAAATCAAAGGTGGAGAAATTAAATCATACTATAAAACTTATTGGGAAACACTTTATATGACAATAGACTTAATTGTTAAATCCAAGCCTGTTTTTGATTGAGTAAGTATAATAAATAATATTACTTTAATTTATAATATATAACAATAGTATAATTAATATTTTTATAGATTTTAGAAAATCACATATCTGTAATTTCTAATACTGCAGTATTTGATCTTCTTGAGGATGAAGATTTTTATATTAAGTATCATCAGGTCTTTGTTATTTTAAAACCTATAAAGAAACTAACAAATTGTTTAGAAGCTAGAACAGCCAATTTAGCTGATATTTTTATTGGTTTGGTTAAATTAGTAATCAAGTTGAAAATTCTAACCCATGAAAAACAAATATTATTATTAATTTCAATCGACGATTCAATGAACTTGTAAATCTCGTTACAATCAGTATTTGAAATTTTAGATCTAAACACTGTTCACATGAGAACAGTATAATAGCTATAGGTGTTTACACTCTAATATTTCTGTTCTCACTTAGTGATCATTAAAAAAAAAAAAAAAAAAAACTGATACCAATTTGATTTTTATTATATTTATAAGTTTGTATTTCAAAAGTTATCTTAGATTAATCTAACTGTCTTTATATTGGAATTTTATGACTTTTGAAAATAATATATTTAGCAATTAACTTTGTATATTAAAATTATATTGTTTTTTATTATATACTTATGAGAACACTATTATTATTTTACTGTTTTCTAAAAATTTTTAATAGTAAACAGTAAAATATTTATACTGTGCACAAATTTATAATTGTGTTCTCATGAGACTCTGAGAACACAAATTTCAAACACTGGTTACAATACTTACATACTGGTTACATCCCTTATATAGAGGTATATATTTATAAGTAGAGATATTATAATTTTTATAGCTAACATAATTATATAATTTAATTATATATATATATTTTAGGTTGTAACTTAAAGAGAACAGTATTGGATAAAATTTATGAAATAACTATGTTAATTTGGAATGATTTACATTATTCAGAAGAGTCATGCATGCAATTATTGGTAGAAATGCAAAGTTGGAAACGAAAGATGAACTGTACCATCTTTTCTATAATTCTACTTGTGAAACACTAATTAAATAATAGCGTAGCATATATGTTGAAGATGATCAAGATCAACTCCAACAATTGGCATTATATTTATTTTCAATTGTTTCTTTACAAGCCATTTGTAAAAAAAACTTTTCAATGCTTAAATAGTTTTATGATAATAAGTGAACTTGACTTTGTCTTTCTCGAGTAGAAGATATGGCAAAAATACGCTCTTACTATCTTTCAAATTCTGATAAAAAGCTTCAACTTTATGGCAAAGATTTAAATAGTGAAGAGTTATATAAAAGTATCAACATATCAATAGTTACATATAATTTACTTGAAACTTCAGATGAAATTACTAATAATGATGGGACTAATAATTTGAATGATATTAATAAAAGTGAAATTTTGGAAAGTTTAATATTAAATATTGCAGATTCAGTGGATTTAATGTTGCCAGAGTTTTTAGCATCTGGAGATGCAATATTTTCTTCAGAGCCTATTACTAATTGGGCTAGAGATATAGCAGTAGGTAATATGAATTATAATTCTATTAAGTTGGCACATCAAATGGTATTATGAGATGGAGAGGATTAAAAAATTTATTATTACGTAATATTTGAATCATGTATGTAATAAATTTTTTTTGATTGAAGTATATATAAGATTAATTCTGGGTTTTATCATTTTTGATTGAATCAGATCCAAAAAATATAATCTGAAATGTGATCTAAGTAGAAAAATTAATTACAACATTTGTTATATGAAAAACTGAAAAAAGACATAAAATTACGACAATTAGTTATAATTGATAAATTAATTATTTTATCTAACAAACTCATATGATTATGGTGCAGTTTTTGCATGTTATTTTTTAACGTTTTATGATATAATGCCGAATATTCGAATTTTACATGAATATCAAAATTACCGTGTCAATATTATTTGGCAAAAAAACAATATTTGGGCCATATACAAATAAAATTTTCATAATTCAACAATTCAAGAAAATAAACATATGCTTAAAAATGCAATTACATTCAATTACAAATTATTAATAAATTCTAAAAATTGAAAGTGCAATTATGAAACGTATTTCTTGTTAAAAATTTTTCAATAAAATCTTTATTATTTGAATTTTTTTCAATATCCTTAGGCTTCTTGTTTCGATCACCCTTCTTATGAATATTTTGATCATGCTTGGCAAGTACATAGCTTGATTCATCAGAAGCTACTTCAAGATTATCAAGTGCATTTGCCAGCGATACTTGAGAATTGGCCTGTTGAATATACAAACTTGCAAGTTCGAAATCACCATTTACTGGAGCCAATTTTTGAAGATTTTTTGGCTTCTTATAGTTACCAGGGGCTTCATCGTCATTGGGGTCATTATAGTTATCGGGGCCTTACTGCCGTTATGGTCACTGGGGCTTTATATATACAAAAAAATCTACATTATAAAAATGTGCAAATTAAAACCAAACAAATACAATAAATTTTACTTTTTGAAACTTGTTTCAACACATTAAAAAATCCAATAAGACCTTCATACTGCATTACCAATTTTGAACGTTCATATATAGCAAGACTTTTTTGAGATTTGTGTCTTGTAATCGACATTATGACCAAATCGGAATACCCAAGCTCTTTTAACAATTGCATGGCAGTTTTTCTTTTGAAGTGGTTCGAGATATTATGGTTTCCGATTTGGATACTAGTAGTTTCGCAAATATTCTTGAAATATTCTCTTAATGTTTGCTCGCCTAAACCATGAGTGTAATACCATTGTCTACTGAATTCTACTAATAAATTAAAAAACAGTTAGTAAATGAAATATTCATCGTTGAAAATTATAATTCATATTAAAAAGATTTTACCTGAATTTAAGATCATTGGCTTTAAATAAAAATTCATCACTGTCATAATTGGGCACTTAGTAAAGAAGAATTCATAATCATCAACGATGCTTTTAATGTTGGGCAAGCTGATTATCTCAGCTTGAGCATCGTAATTTCCAAGTCCCTGTTGATTGGTTTTGGATCTATACAGTTTAATGTCAATTCTGCCATCAAACCTTTTAACAAAGTTGTTAATTTCCAAGATACAATGTTCACCCCCATGTAACGCCAAAAGCATTGAATTAAAAAAAAATTTTCATAACAAGCCTTCTGGCATATTACGCTGCATCATGGAGTAGTCCAAAATTTGTTTAACTTCATTTAACGTCAGCGTATCAGCACCGACTTATTCACCCAGGCCTTTCAAAGAAAGGTTCTTTAGCTTTCCATTGATAACTTGATTAAGATTGAAATATATTTTTGGATTAAGTATTTCGATAGGCTTTTGCATTACTAAGTTTTCATTAAAATACTTCCAGATTGCTGCTATACAACTTCTAATGGAGATTGCATGATACTCTATACTATTCTTTTGTTTCATTGCGCATATGAATCTTGATAGCTGATCCTCAAGAACCATTTTTGAATTGACTTCTTCAATTTTTTCTTCGTAACCAACCTCAGAGCAAAACAATTATAGAGCTCTAACCCACAGTTCTGTTGCCTTGTAAGTTGCTTTAACCTTTCTATTATCTCAAATTTCCTTGAGGCTATTTATAGAAGGCTCTGTATACTTATTTCGCTAATAAACATTGTATTAATATGTTTTTCCACATAACAAAATATAAAAAAAAAGAAAAATATATATATTATTCACCTTTACCTTACTAGTTTTTGGCATTATTTTCAAGTGGGTTTTATAATTTTCACTGATTTATACTTCAAATGGGTTTTTAGTTTAAACTAGACTTTACTATTACTGATTCAAGTGGCTTTATAGCTTCAAGAGGCTTTTATAGCTTCAAGAGACATTATATAGACTTTACAAGTTGATTAGAAGCTTCATTTGTTACAACCTTTTTGTAATTACAACTGCCAGAAAATTCACAATGCTATCTTAACTTCCACTAAGACTTTCAACTTAGAACTCCAACTACCAACTTATATATGTATTAAAAGAAGAAAAAAAAATACTATTTTTTTTTTTTTGCTTAAAAAAAATTCTTTTTTTCATTATAAAAAAAAGAGATTTAAATACTGATCTACAATCTTTTTTCTAGGTCTAAAATTATATTTATAAGGGGGGGAAGATCAGATGCTATGATTATAAATTGTCAGATAATACCATTATTGGGCAAATTTGTAAATACAGCAATTTGGCTCAACTGGACAAATGATTGTCTAACACGTGCTACAAAGTAGCACATGTCAGCCAATCATTTGCCCGATTAAGCCAAATTGCCATTATTTACAAATTTTTGCCCAATAATGTATACTTATAATGTAGAAAATGTCGTCTATTGTGAAATAGTTTAATGACCCTTGCTGACCTATTACTCAGAGCTAAATAAATATAAAAACTTATATTAATTTTATAGTTTGGGAGTTTTGAAATTTTGATTTATATTTGCATATTATGCAAACTTATCCCTTCGTCTGTAACACAGGCAAATTTGCGTGTGTTTTTTAAAATTTTTAATAAAAGCTTAAATATTAATTTTAGCTATATCTTTTCTAAGTAAAAAATATATTTTTAGTTTTGTTTTAATAA